TATTTGTTTCATATATTTTCCTCGCGAACTCGCATTTTTGGCCTAATTGATAAAGGGTCCCGCGCGTAACAAGCACATGCTTGGTATCGTTGGGCCACTTGTTTGTACTGCTCGTAGTGCATCAACGTCCATCATATAAAAAAAAAAAAAAAAAAAAAAAAAAAAAAAATGGCAAATATTCATCTGATATACCTGAACAGGACCCATCGAGATAAAGCGTTTGAAGCTCTCAAAGAAGGAATGCATGTATTTTAACTGCAAAAGTATACAAACTTCGGCCTGCCGAAGCTAACTTCCTTTCTTGTTTTTTTTTTCAAGTGAGCGCTTAAATATTTACTTAAGTTATGAAAACGGAGTTTTTTGTTGTTATTACATTTACAAATATTAATGTGAACTTACAAAAGCATTCTGCCTCGATAGGAAATAATATGGGCACGGCTCAGGGGTCGAGTGCTAGGTTCTGGTACTATTTTGTTCTCGAGGGGTATCAGGTTCGAGTCCTGCTAACAACACAACTTATTATTTTTTTTTTGTTAATTAGTAGTCTTATAACTAATTAAATACAATATTGTTCTTAGACATGTTAAATATGCTTCTTAAAAACTTTTTACTTACTCTGCCATAACCGGTTTTCGAACCGGGGTCCTCTCGCATCAGAGATAGACGCCTTACGCATTGATCCATCGCATCATGTTACACGAGAGTGTATAAGTTTAACTTAAATGTAAATTTAACACGATCGATAACACATATAACTTTCTAAAACTAAAAATGCAACATTTTACTTATGCAATTTTTTGGAAATTTAATTTAATATTATTTGTACCTTGAGTTTCACAATAATTCTGTGAAATAAACTTTTTATTCAAAATATAAGGGTTTATATTTCGAATAAATTGCGAAAGTATTAAATCGTATCATAACACAACATTCTTGGACTGCTTCACAGCAATTGATGGCAAATTCTGTTATTGCTGGAGCCCTAGATCACGAAAACACCACAATTTTTTTTTTCAATAGCACTGTTTTTTTAAATGTTTTTTAAAGTTCAAAATGTTAAATTTCGGACTTTTTTCGAATTTTTTCTTATATCTCAGCTCATCTCTAAAAATTATAAAATGAAAGACCGATTTTTAAGGGGATACGACCACAGCCCAAACCGTAAGAGCTAGAGCAGCCAAATTTTTTCACAGTATTCCATTGGGGGCGTAGGCGCCCACTAAGGTCTGACATGTCCCCCCAGTGGCCCCAAACAGCTCCATTATCCATATTTAGAGCAAAAAATCATTAGATGTGTAAAATGGTTGGAATTTCGAAATTTTGATTTTGCAGAATTTTTTGAAAGGGCCTAATTAGAAATCTAAAAGAAATTTCGATATCCCCCATAATTTGGGGGCTACATTTAAAACAAGCTTTTCGATTTAAAAAATCTAAACCGCTGATCCGATCGAGATGATTTTTCGGTCAATGGTTATTCTATGGCCCAAATGCTTAAGTTCAATTGTTCAAGTTTATAATTTTTTTTAAAGTATTTTTAACGAATTTTTTTAGATTTTCTAAGTTATTGCGTTGCATTTTGTGGGTGCCTGCCGAGAGAGCGAAACCCAGAGAGCGGATGGCAAGAGAGCGACGGCCGAGAGAGCAGCAGCCAAGAAAACTGACGAGGGGTAGGGGTAGTGCAGTGTGGAAGGGGGAGGGGAAAAGGGCAATTTAAGTTAAAATTTGTTTTCAATTTTAAAAACTTATACTGCTGTTCCGATCAATATGATTTTAAATCAATAGTCAGTCCTGTGGATCAAATGCTTAGGTTTTATTTTTCAAAAAATATTTTTCATTTTGTAGCAGAAGTAAGAGCATTATTTTTTTATCTCGTAATCGGCCATGAAAAGACAGATATTTCTGCTTTTGAATTATGCAAATCGTGCTTTCTGCTCGAAAGATAAAATTGATTTCTTGTTTTCGTTCTAACGCCAAAATACGGCAAAAAAGTGATGATAGTGCCAAAATAGGTGTGAGAATAAATATTGGAAGCAATGGGCTTTGCAATCAAGTTGGTACTGTGCACTTCAAAAACTTAAAAAAAAAAAACTGGGGTGGCCGCGTTGTAGAAAAAGTCCCATAAAACTACTTGAAATCTAGTTTTTCCTTTCTTTGACACTGTTGCACCACCTATAAAATTATGATTTTTTTTATTAATTCAATGGTTAAAAGACACAGGAGCTGTAAAAAATTGGTGGTGTTGCCAAAACTTGAAAGTGGTCAAAAATTTTTTTGAAAATTTTAATCGTGGTTTTCTGCACTTTTAAAAAGTCTTAAAAATTCCAAGCTTCTTTAGCGAGGACCTGTTTCTTATCGCTTTGATTTCTCATCACTAATTTTCAGTTAAGCGTTTCCGTTGGTCAGATATAAGCTTAAATACATTTTTGGATTGCAGACGATTACTCCTCAGCCAAATGTCCAATAGCTTTGAAAATTGGTTTCCATATTCTCCTTCTAATTATCTACCATCGCTGATTCAAAATTTTTAAAAATCGCTGGGGGCCGTTTTCCCTAGGTAAGTCTGCTATGCCCTTTGTTTTGAATTTTAAAAACTTAAACTGCTGCTCCGATTAATATGATTTTCGATCAATAACACTATGCAGCATCAAAAATTTACCTCGATGGATGCTATATTTTTGGATTCGTTACGAATTCCCAAGTTAAATTGCGTTTTCCAAAGAGTTCCCCGACGCAAGGATTCTTAGCAAAAGGACCTCAAAGTTCGAAAAATGCTGAAGTTGACCAATTTTGCGGAGCTCTCAGAGGCAAATGGATGCATGGTTTGATTCGATGTTAAAGTTTTTTTATCATTCAATCCCCATCCTTAAAATAATTTTAGGATTTTTTTAAGGCAGAAATAAATTCCAAAAAACATACAGCTTCGGTCAAAATAGTAGTAGTGTTGCCGCCTTGTCTTTTAAAAAGTTTGAAATTGTAACATTTTTTTATGCAATTAGTCTAATAGTAAAATTTTAATCTATACAATATTACCAGCAAAAGATCAATTACAACAACAAACTTTTAAATACACAGGGCGGCAACACTACTACTTTTTTGACCGCAGCTGTATACTTTTATGTTTTTTGACTATGTTTTCTAGAATTTGTTTCTGCCTTAAAAAAAATTCCAAAATTATTTTAAGTATGGGGTTTGAAAGATAAAGGGTGTATCTTTTAAAAAACTTTAACATCGATTCAAACCATGCATCCATTTTTCTCTGAGAGCTCCGCAAAGTTGGTAAATTTCAGCATTTTTCGAACTTTGAGGTCCTTTTGCTAAGAATCCTTGCGTCGGGGAACTCTTTGGAAAACGCAGTTTAACTTGGAAATTCGTAACGAATCTAAAAATATAGCATCCATCGAGGTAAATTTAAAAAGCACTAAAAATGCTGCACAGTGCACAAGTCCTGCGGATCAAATGCTTAGGATTTATTTTTCAAAAAATATTTTTCATTTTGTAGCAGAAGTAAGAGCCCTATTTTATTTTCACCGTGGAAGAAGATAAAAAATTACTACAAATTCTGTAAACAAAGCCAAAATGTTTCCAAGTTAATTATTAGTCTTAAGACTCGAACTTTTGACCAAATGTACTTATGCATATTTGGATGACAATCTTTTCGTGTGTGTACAAATGTCCAATTTACAAACAGGTGTACATTTGTGCGCAAATTAAAATTGCATTGATAACATTGTAACTAATAGAAGGTATAAAAATTCACTATTTTTACTTATATCACATTCATTTATTATATAGCCCTGCCAGTACCCTTCTCTAACGCCCACAATATACGATTTTAAAAATTTAAATATTTCCGAAAAGTATAAATGCAGTTTTACTGTGTTTATCAATACCTATCGAAATGTAGAAGACATTTTTCAAATCGGACCATTCATTTAAAAGTTGTGAGTGATCAAAGTTTTCTATCTCCATCTCCGTCGCACTCCCTTTACCTGAGTAACGGGTATCTGATAGTCGGGGCGCCCGACTATAACGTTCTATCTTGTTTGTTCTACAAAGTACCTCTTACGCGGCACCTAATTATTACAGTAATAAATGTGATTTTTTTTAGATTTTTATGTCAATACGGTCTGGGTGAAATTTGCTACTGACCGTTTTTTTATTTTTAATTATTTTTGTTTACAGGCCGCTGCCTATGATAAATCTTAAATATCGACTCTGTCAACCAAAAAAAGTTGAAAAATCCGAACTTTAAAAATCCACCACAAATCCAATTTTCCATAGATTTGGGCCATATCCGGCTTGTTTTATTTGTTAGGATGTAAACTTTAAGTTTGTACGCATTATGATTTTTCAACGGATTTATTTCGAGTTCTTACGATGTATACAGCCGACTTACAGTCGACCAAAAAACAAATTTTTCATCTTTGTCGAGCTGCTGGGCTGCCATTACTTATCCAATCATAATGATCTGCATGGCAAAGTTAAGCTCTGATCTATTGACTTTAAAATGAAATGAACACTGGCGCAATTGGGTGAATATGAGCCGGGATATAGGAAAAAATTCGAAAGTCAGAAATTTAACGTTTTGAACTTTAAAAAATATTTAAAAAAAAATGTGCCATTAAAAAGAAAATTAGTGGTATTTTCGTGATCTAGAGCCCCAACACTGACAGAATTTGCAATCAATTGCTGTGGAGCATTTTGGCTGTAAACTAGTGTTAAAATAGTTAGTTAAAATAAATAAAGATTTAATAAAAATATTTTTGCATTGCGCCACAAAAAAATGTGTTTTTGATTAGTTTGTCACAATTGGTTTATGTATAAGTTAGAGCCATTTTTTATTTTTAAGATTTCAAATTTTTTTTAGGAAGCCCTCCAGTTGATTATTTTACTCGTCGAACCGGCATCGGCATCGTATCGTGCAGGTCTCTACTACATAACTAAACTATAACGACTTGTGTTCCTAGCTAAAATGATAATAAAATTGATGTGATACTCACATTGTTTTAAGAACAAGCGTAAAGAGAACCAGATGCACCTTTCAAATAGTTGCTTGTGCATCTGCTGTGCAGATGGGATTCTCATTGGCTTATTCTTTAATACGCGCGGGGTAATTTCCAATATGTATGAAGTATAGAAATGATTTTTTGTGAAATGCTCCACGTCTGGGTTGTCCCAACGTCGACGCCAGATATAAGGCATAGCGATAATGCCGTAGAAAATTGGGCCAGAGAAGACTATCGTAAGGATCAAATATGGCCAAATGTCTGGCTTTAAAGGACGCATAATTGCTAACGCCTCGCTAAGGCGTCTGGGGGCATGTGTGGCGAAAGCTCCTGAGTCGGCCAGGGTGAAAAACGAGAACTCAATGGCTTTTCGGCGCTCCCAGCTGAGGCCGACGTCACCCAAGAAAAAGTCTGCTTGCTGCAGGAGCAAAATAAACCTGTGTATATAAATATTAACTATAAAATTACTACTACTCACTCTACTTTGCAACATTCCAATGCCACCGGTAAAACTGTCATTCGACTCCCTAGCATCGTCGGACCTTATTGATCCTTGGGTTCGACCGGGAGCTTCCATGTACTTAAACCGAAAGTTCATATGCTTAGCTAGTAGCTTAAGTAGGCGGTGATCGCGACCACCCGTTACTTGGAATTCGTTCTCTTCGTGACTATTATTGTTATAGGTGACCCAAAACCACGGCGGAGACTGCAAGCAATAATTAGTTATTACGCCCTGCATACCTGTCTTATATTATTCCGTATTACATGAAATACTGGTATTCGGAAAATACGACCCTCAAAGTTGGCGTATACGGATGCTGCAGTTGGGAGAAGGGGGATCCGTTGCAGGCCAAGGTTATCGCCGTCATACCAGTTTACCAGCTGCAGCTGACTGTCGCTGCAGGGCCTGGCCTGGTTGTAGTAGATGCGGAAGGCTTCCTGGCGGGGACGAGTTATCACCACCGCTCGTAAGGGCTCCCTAAAACTAACGATTCGGGAGCTGGGTGGCCGGCGGGCTCCCCAATAAAAGATAAACAAGCTGAGGCGGTGGGCTATACGTCGCTCGTAGAGGTGGTCCAACAGCTTCATGGGCTCGTCAAAAATCAGGCTGACGCATTCGTTGGCGCCTTGGAGTTTGGTTTCAATGTGCTGCAAAAAGTCATCCGTGTCGTTAAATATCACCGATTTATAGAAAGTGCGATGTAGTCGCTGTAGAAAATCATTCACAGAAATGCGGCGATCGGTGTGACAGCTTTCGTCAAAAAGGATGGAGTTGGGGAGCGCCAATACGGCCAGAGATGGTGGTCGCAGACACTAAACACGCTTACCCTTATATCTACTTCACAGGTAATCTTGTAGTCGTTAAAAACGAACCAGCTGCTACACGCGAGTCGAGAAAGCTCGAACCATGCTACCGAGGACATATATCGTCGTCAAGGTTGTTGTAAAAAATCCTCCAGCTGAACCCTCCACGAGGGTGCCGGCTGGGCAATGGTCACTGCATTACCCCGAGCAGGGTAATACATTGTCGCTTGTCCGGCCCGGGGCAATGCAGTGTCTAGCTAAGGCAACTGGTTCAACTCCCTTGAATCAGTAGCCATAGTTGGAGGTGCCTGGCGTTAGGCATAAAACGCAAGTGGGTGGTTCCTCGGAAAAACAAACCAGTATGGACGGGGATAAGGAGCAAATCAGGGCTGGGATGTCAGCCCAAACGTCGATGGAAAGTACGACTGCTACCATCGGCGGGCATGGGGAGGAGCAATCCTCTCTGCGTGTCGCCAGCGGTCGAACCCCTGGGATGACGGGAGCAGGTCATTCCAGCGGCAATGTTACTGCCATAGCATCTCAGGCAAAGTTAAGCCGCACGGGTGCCGTAGTTGTAGTAGACTCGGACTCGGAGAGCGTGCTACACGAAGCCAAAACAAGCCATACCCGCCTGCCGGTACCAGGTTCTAACTCCACGCGTAGGGAAGGGCCGAAGCGTACAAGCGTACTCTTCCACCTGGTACCAATTAATTAACAATAGCCATACAAATTTAAAAGACTACACAACAGCAAAAGAGATAACCAAACTATCTAGAAAAGACCAAATCCGCATAATTAGACTACGTCTGGGTCACACCAGACTCACCCATGAATATAGATTTTCCAAACCAACAAGCAACCCCTGTAAATTCTGTAACCAAAATTCAATGACAATAGAGCATATTCTAAACGAATGCACTGCATTCGACAACTACAGAGCCAGCATCCCAAATAAAAACTTAATCCCACTCCTTTCCAATCCCACGACCACTAACCTCCTTCAACTTCTAGACTTCCTTAAGAAATCTAACATATCTAGCTCTTATAATTAAGATATCTTCATAACCTGAAATGTAACTGAACTAGACACTTAGTAATTAAGAATCGAACACAAAAATGAATTTATTAACTTTAAGCAGGCCTAAAGCCTTAGTAGCTATAGCTGCCCATTTTCTGTAGCTTTAGTTTTTTAACTTTAAGCAAACAGAGTGTAAAATAAATAATTTTAATTAATTATTAATTTGCCTCTATGTACATCAAATTTTACTCTGCATGAGCCCTTTCGTGTTCTATGTAAAAATTATAACAATCTTTATCATTTAATTTGCACTTCAACATCTATCCCCGTATTAAAAACTAAAATTTTATCTCATTTGCTTCAATTAGTTGTAGTATTTGTAGTATTTGTTTCATATATTTTCCTCGCGAACTCGCATTTTTGGCCTAATTGATAAAGGGTCCCGCGCGTAACAAGCACATGCTTGGTATCGTTGGGCCACTTGTTTGTACTGCTCGTAGTGCATCAACGTCCATCATATAAAAAAAAAAAAACAAAAAAAAAAACAAAAAAAAATGGCAAATATTCATCTGATATACCTGAACAGGACCCATCGAGATAAAGCGTTTGAAGCTCTCAAAGAAGGAATGCATGTATTTTAACTGCAAAAGTATACAAACTTCGGCCTGCCGAAGCTAACTTCCTTTCTTGTTTTTTTTTTTTCAAGTGAGCGCTTAAATATTTACTTAAGTTATGAAAACGGAGTTTTTTGTTGTTATTACATTTACAAATATTAATGTGAACTTACAAAAGCATTCTGCCTCGATAGGAAATAATATGGGCACGGCTCAGGGGTCGAGTGCTAGGTTCTGGTACTATTTTGTTCTCGAGGGGTATCAGGTTCGAGTCCTGCTAACAACACAACTTATTATTTTTTTTTTGTTAATTAGTAGTCTTATAACTAATTAAATACAATATTGTTCTTAGACATGTTAAATATGCTTCTTAAAAACTTTTTACTTACTCTGCCATAACCGGTTTTCGAACCGGGGTCCTCTCGCATCAGAGATAGACGCCTTACGCATTGATCCATCGCATCATGTTACACGAGAGTGTATAAGTTTAACTTAAATGTAAATTTAACACGATCGATAACACATATAACTTTCTAAAACTAAAAATGCAACATTTTACTTATGCAATTTTTTGGAAATTTAATTTAATATTATTTGTACCTTGAGTTTCACAATAATTCTGTGAAATAAACTTTTTATTCAAAATATAAGGGTTTATATTTCGAATAAATTGCGAAAGTATTAAATCGTATCATAACACAACATTCTTGGACTGCTTCACAGCAATTGATGGCAAATTCTGTTATTGCTGGAGCCCTAGATCACGAAAACACCACAATTTTTTTTTTCAATAGCACTGTTTTTTTAAATGTTTTTTAAAGTTCAAAATGTTAAATTTCGGACTTTTTTCGAATTTTTTCTTATATCTCAGCTCATCTCTAAAAATTATAAAATGAAAGAACGATTTTTAAGGGGATACGACCACAGCCCAAAACCGTAAGAGCTAGAGCAGCCAAATTTTTTCACAGTATTCCATTGGGGGCGTAGGCGCCCACTAAGGTCTGACATGTCCCCCCAGTGGCCCCAAACAGCTCCATTATCCATATTTAGAGCAAAAAATCATTAGATGTGTAAAATGGTTGGAATTTCGAAATTTTGATTTTGCAGAATTTTTTGAAAGGGCCTAATTAGAAATCTAAAAGAAATTTCGATATCCCCCATAATTTGGGGGCTACATTTAAAACAAGCTTTTCGATTTAAAAAATCTAAACCGCTGATCCGATCGAGATGATTTTTCGGTCAATGGTTATTCTATGGCCCAAATGCTTAAGTTCAATTGTTCAAGTTTATAATTTTTTTTAAAGTATTTTTAACGAATTTTTTTAGATTTTCTAAGTTATTGCGTTGCATTTTGTGGGTGCCTGCCGAGAGAGCGAAACCCAGAGAGCGGATGGCAAGAGAGCGACGGCCGAGAGAGCAGCAGCCAAGAAAACTGACGAGGGGTAGGGGTAGTGCAGTGTGGAAGGGGGAGGGGAAAAGGGCAATTTAAGTTAAAATTTGTTTTCAATTTTAAAAACTTATACTGCTGTTCCGATCAATATGATTTTAAATCAATAGTCAGTCCTGTGGATCAAATGCTTAGGTTTTATTTTTCAAAAAATATTTTTCATTTTGTAGCAGAAGTAAGAGCATTATTTTTTTATCTCGTAATCGGCCATGAAAAGACAGATATTTCTGCTTTTGAATTATGCAAATCGTGCTTTCTGCTCGAAAGATAAAATTGATTTCTTGTTTTCGTTCTAACGCCAAAATACGGCAAAAAAGTGATGATAGTGCCAAAATAGGTGTGAGAATAAATATTGGAAGCAATGGGCTTTGCAATCAAGTTGGTACTGTGCACTTCAAAAACTTAAAAAAAAAAACTGGGGTGGCCGCGTTGTAGAAAAAGTCCCATAAAACTACTTGAAATCTAGTTTTTCCTTTCTTTGACACTGTTGCACCACCTATAAAATTATGATTTTTTTTTATTAATTCAATGGTTAAAAGACACAGGAGCTGTAAAAAATTGGTGGTGTTGCCAAAACTTGAAAGTGGTCAAAAATTTTTTTGAAAATTTTAATCGTGGTTTTCTGCACTTTTAAAAAGTCTTAAAAATTCCAAGCTTCTTTAGCGAGGACCTGTTTCTTATCGCTTTGATTTCTCATCACTAATTTTCAGTTAAGCGTTTCCGTTGGTCAGATATAAGCTTAAATACATTTTTGGATTGCAGACGATTACTCCTCAGCCAAATGTCCAATAGCTTTGAAAATTGGTTTCCATATTCTCCTTCTAATTATCTACCATCGCTGATTCAAAATTTTTAAAAATCGCTGGGGGCCGTTTTCCCTAGGTAAGTCTGCTATGCCCTTTGTTTTGAATTTTAAAAACTTAAACTGCTGCTCCGATTAATATGATTTTCGATCAATAACACTATGCAGCATCAAAAATTTACCTCGATGGATGCTATATTTTTGGATTCGTTACGAATTCCCAAGTTAAATTGCGTTTTCCAAAGAGTTCCCCGACGCAAGGATTCTTAGCAAAAGGACCTCAAAGTTCGAAAAATGCTGAAGTTGACCAATTTTGCGGAGCTCTCAGAGGCAAATGGATGCATGGTTTGATTCGATGTTAAAGTTTTTTTATCATTCAATCCCCATCCTTAAAATAATTTTAGGATTTTTTTAAGGCAGAAATAAATTCCAAAAAACATACAGCTTCGGTCAAAATAGTAGTAGTGTTGCCGCCTTGTCTTTTAAAAAGTTTGAAATTGTAACATTTTTTTATGCAATTAGTCTAATAGTAAAATTTTAATCTATACAATATTACCAGCAAAAGATCAATTACAACAACAAACTTTTAAATACACAGGGCGGCAACACTACTACTTTTTTGACCGCAGCTGTATACTTTTATGTTTTTTGACTATGTTTTCTAGAATTTGTTTCTGCCTTAAAAAAAATTCCAAAATTATTTTAAGTATGGGGTTTGAAAGATAAAGGGTGTATCTTTTAAAAAACTTTAACATCGATTCAAACCATGCATCCATTTTTCTCTGAGAGCTCCGCAAAGTTGGTAAATTTCAGCATTTTTCGAACTTTGAGGTCCTTTTGCTAAGAATCCTTGCGTCGGGGAACTCTTTGGAAAACGCAGTTTAACTTGGAAATTCGTAACGAATCTAAAAATATAGCATCCATCGAGGTAAATTTAAAAAGCACTAAAAATGCTGCACAGTGCACAAGTCCTGCGGATCAAATGCTTAGGATTTATTTTTCAAAAAATATTTTTCATTTTGTAGCAGAAGTAAGAGCCCTATTTTATTTTCACCGTGGAAGAAGATAAAAAATTACTACAAATTCTGTAAACAAAGCCAAAATGTTTCCAAGTTAATTATTAGTCTTAAGACTCGAACTTTTGACCAAATGTACTTATGCATATTTGGATGACAATCTTTTCGTGTGTGTACAAATGTCCAATTTACAAACAGGTGTACATTTGTGCGCAAATTAAAATTGCATTGATAACATTGTAACTAATAGAAGGTATAAAAATTCACTATTTTTACTTATATCACATTCATTTATTATATAGCCCTGCCAGTACCCTTCTCTAACGCCCACAATATACGATTTTAAAAATTTAAATATTTCCGAAAAGTATAAATGCAGTTTTACTGTGTTTATCAATACCTATCGAAATGTAGAAGACATTTTTCAAATCGGACCATTCATTTAAAAGTTGTGAGTGATCAAAGTTTTCTATCTCCATCTCCGTCGCACTCCCTTTACCTGAGTAACGGGTATCTGATAGTCGGGGCGCCCGACTATAACGTTCTATCTTGTTTGTTCTACAAAGTACCTCTTACGCGGCACCTAATTATTACAGTAATAAATGTGATTTTTTTTTAGATTTTTATGTCAATACGGTCTGGGTGAAATTTGCTACTGACCGTTTTTTTTATTTTTAATTATTTTTGTTTACAGGCCGCTGCCTATGATAAATCTTAAATATCGACTCTGTCAACCAAAAAAAGTTGAAAAATCCGAACTTTAAAAATCCACCACAAATCCAATTTTCCATAGATTTGGGCCATATCCGGCTTGTTTTATTTGTTAGGATGTAAACTTTAAGTTTGTACGCATTATGATTTTTCAACGGATTTATTTCGAGTTCTTACGATGTATACAGCCGACTTACAGTCGACCAAAAAACAAATTTTTCATCTTTGTCGAGCTGCTGGGCTGCCATTACTTATCCAATCATAATGATCTGCATGGCAAAGTTAAGCTCTGATCTATTGACTTTAAAATGAAATGAACACTGGCGCAATTGGGTGAATATGAGCCGGGATATAGGAAAAAATTCGAAAGTCAGAAATTTAACGTTTTGAACTTTAAAAAATATTTAAAAAAAAACTGTGCCATTAAAAAGAAAATTAGTGGTATTTTCGTGATCTAGAGCCCCAACACTGACAGAATTTGCAATCAATTGCTGTGGAGCATTTTGGCTGTAAACTAGTGTTAAAATAGTTAGTTAAAATAAATAAAGATTTAATAAAAATATTTTTGCATTGCGCCACAAAAAAATGTGTTTTTGATTAGTTTGTCACAATTGGTTTATGTATAAGTTAGAGCCATTTTTTATTTTTAAGATTTCAAATTTTTTTTAGGAAGCCCTCCAGTTGATTATTTTACTCGTCGAACCGGCATCGGCATCGTATCGTGCAGGTCTCTACTACATAACTAAACTATAACGACTTGTGTTCCTAGCTAAAATGATAATAAAATTGATGTGATACTCACATTGTTTTAAGAACAAGCGTAAAGAGAACCAGATGCACCTTTCAAATAGTTGCTTGTGCATCTGCTGTGCAGATGGGATTCTCATTGGCTTATTCTTTAATACGCGCGGGGTAATTTCCAATATGTATGAAGTATAGAAATGATTTTTTGTGAAATGCTCCACGTCTGGGTTGTCCCAACGTCGACGCCAGATATAAGGCATAGCGATAATGCCGTAGAAAATTGGGCCAGAGAAGACTATCGTAAGGATCAAATATGGCCAAATGTCTGGCTTTAAAGGACGCATAATTGCTAACGCCTCGCTAAGGCGTCTGGGGGCATGTGTGGCGAAAGCTCCTGAGTCGGCCAGGGTGAAAAACGAGAACTCAATGGCTTTTCGGCGCTCCCAGCTGAGGCCGACGTCACCCAAGAAAAAGTCTGCTTGCTGCAGGAGCAAAATAAACCTGTGTATATAAATATTAACTATAAAATTACTACTACTCACTCTACTTTGCAACATTCCAATGCCACCGGTAAAACTGTCATTCGACTCCCTAGCATCGTCGGACCTTATTGATCCTTGGGTTCGACCGGGAGCTTCCATGTACTTAAACCGAAAGTTCATATGCTTAGCTAGTAGCTTAAGTAGGCGGTGATCGCGACCACCCGTTACTTGGAATTCGTTCTCTTCGTGACTATTATTGTTATAGGTGACCCAAAACCACGGCGGAGACTGCAAGCAATAATTAGTTATTACGCCCTGCATACCTGTCTTATATTATTCCGTATTACATGAAATACTGGTATTCGGAAAATACGACCCTCAAAGTTGGCGTATACGGATGCTGCAGTTGGGAGAAGGGGGATCCGTTGCAGGCCAAGGTTATCGCCGTCATACCAGTTTACCAGCTGCAGCTGACTGTCGCTGCAGGGCCTGGCCTGGTTGTAGTAGATGCGGAAGGCTTCCTGGCGGGGACGAGTTATCACCACCGCTCGTAAGGGCTCCCTAAAACTAACGATTCGGGAGCTGGGTGGCCGGCGGGCTCCCCAATAAAAGATAAACAAGCTGAGGCGGTGGGCTATACGTCGCTCGTAGAGGTGGTCCAACAGCTTCATGGGCTCGTCAAAAATCAGGCTGACGCATTCGTTGGCGCCTTGGAGTTTGGTTTCAATGTGCTGCAAAAAGTCATCCGTGTCGTTAAATATCACCGATTTATAGAAAGTGCGATGTAGTCGCTGTAGAAAATCATTCACAGAAATGCGGCGATCGGTGTGACAGCTTTCGTCAAAAAGGATGGAGTTGGGGAGCGCCAATACGGCCAGAGATGGTGGTCGCAGACCACTGATTATTTGCAAGAGCGCTGAAGGCCACGGGCTTAGACAAATATTTCTCAACAAATGCCATAAGTCGTACGAACCTGTGGAAGTGTTAGGCTCATTGCAGGCGTTAAAAGACAGTTTCGTGCCGTCTAGTGGTTCCAGTAGGGAGTGCAGCAAGCCCAATACAGACAATAACTTTAGCATTTTGTATTGTTAGAGCATAACTGGCGGACCTTCCTTATATACCACTTATGAGGACTATTTGATTCGCAATTATGTAATCAATGTCTATATATCATATGCCAGCTGTCAAGAAACCGCACATTTGCACTCAAAACTGACAGCTCTGACAGTTAAAAAAGTTATAAGATGCATTGCACTGGTTTGGGTCAAAAATCGATTTTTATAGAGTCAAAATCTCCCAAGTGGGCCACCCCCTATTCGAAGGTCCGATTTTCGTCAAACTTGTTTACTTTTTTGGTTTACAACGACAAAAAAAGTTAATTTGAACGGTTTTGAGTTTCAACGGAGTTATAGGGGTCAGAAAATACAATTTTTGGCTCTTTTTCAAAAAAGAGTTATCACCTTTTTCTTTTTTTGTGAATTTGTTTTTACTTTGCGTACTATTAAATAGTTAAATTACAATTAAAAGTTACGCTTACGGGATGTGTGTATTTTGTTTTTGTACCCGTTACTCGTAGAGTAAAAGGGTATATTGTATTCGTGCAAAAGTATGTAACAGCTAGAAGGAAGCATTTCCGACCCCATAAAGTATATACATATATTCTTGATCACTAGCCGAGTCGATATAGCCATGTCCGTCTGTCCGTCTGTCCGTCCGTATGAACGCTGAGATCTCGGAAACTATAAAAGCTAGAGGATTGGCGCTTTGCATGCAGATTCTAGGAGATCCTATGCAGCGCAAGTTTGTTTCAAGAAGGTGCCACGCCCCCTCTAACGCCCACAATCATTTATATACGATTTTAAAAATTTAAATATTTCGGAAAAGTATAAATGCAGTTTTACTGTGTTTATCAATACCTATCGAAATGTGTTTCAATATTTTTGAAATCGGACCATTCGTTCAAAAGTTACGGCGGATCAAAGTTTTTATCTCCATCTCCCTCGCACTCCCTTTACCTGAGTAACGGGTATCTGATAGTCGGGGCACCCGACTATAACGTTCTATCTTGTTGTGCTTTGAAATTATTTTAAATAGTTGTTTAACTATGAACAATTGTTACCCTAACGTAACTTCTTTAGTAGAAAAGTATGCAAGAGTAATTTTACAAATATTCTGCGATGCCTTATTTATAATTCCCAACTGGGTCTAGCCCTTAATGGACCAAGCCCAAGTCAGTTTCTGAGTCATTGAGACTTATTTTCTGTCTTTAGTCATTATATAATCAAATAAAAACACCTCTTAACGAGGTAAAAAACTAGTGACGATCGCACCTTCAACATACAAAAATTCTGATATCAACATTTGTGACGAAAAATTATTACACTCGTCATTAAATACACTTTCTAACATTTTCTGATTCGGCCCGCCCTAGCCAACTATTCCAGCCTTTTTCCCTTCGCAGTCATTTCATATTGCAGGGTACCGAATGAGAAAATATTAGAAAGCACAAAAACCCTTACAGTTGTTAACTTTCTAAATTAAGTTTCCAGCTACTTCGGTCTGCCGAAGATAGTAATATCCGATCATGAAACTGCGTTTACCTCAAAACAATTTGAAGAATACTGTAATGAAACCAAACTATTCTCATCCAAAGGATTGGGATCTTACTTTACACAATCTTCAACTCTCAAAATAACGAAACATTAGGATTCAGAGCAATTGATATGATGTTTAACTTTAATCCTATTGACTTAGTCCAGAACCATCTCACTGCAGCTATACACACCGATTTGGAAATAGACGAGAAGGAATCTGTCATCGACAACAGAAATCAAGCGCTCGTCAATATTGCAAGCGTGCGAGCTAAATGGAAACAACGCCTTGACACTAAACACGCTTACCCTTATATCTACTTCACAGGTAATCTTGTAGTCGTTAAAAACGAACCAGCTGCTACACGCGAGTCGAGAAAGCTCGAACCATGCTACCGAGGACATATATCGTCGTCAAGGTTGTTGTAAAAAATCCTCCAGCTGAACCCTCCACGAGGGTGCCGGCTGGGCAATGGTCACTGCATTACCCCGAGCAGGGTAATACATTGTCGCTTGTCCGGCCCGGGGCAATGCAGTGTCTAGCTAAGGCAACTGGTTCAACTCCCTTGAATCAGTAGCCATAGTTGGAGGTGCCTGGCGTTAGGCATAAAACGCAAGTGGGTGGTTCCTCGGAAAAACAAACCAGTATGGACGGGGATAAGGAGCAAATCAGGGCTGGGATGTCAGCCCAAACGTCGATGGAAAGTACGACTGCTACCATCGGCGGGCATGGGGAGGAGCAATCCTCTCTGCGTGTCGCCAGCGGTCGAACCCCTGGGATGACGGGAGCAGGTCATTCCAGCGGCAATGTTACTGCCATAGCATCTCAGGCAAAGTTAAGCCGCACGGGTGCCGTAGTTGTAGTAGACTCGGACTCGGAGAGCGTGCTACACGAAGCCAAAACAAGCCATACCCGCCTGCCGGTACCAGGTTCTAACTCCACGCGTAGGGAAGGGCCGAAGCGTACAAGCGTACTTCACTTCGGAAGCAAGCCCGCGATGGCATCGACAGGCGGATTTGCCAACAAGGTGGAGGAGATGCCTGCCAACAAAAGGCAACACTCACACGAGAGTGCCGCCAAGGACATTGCGGTGAGCAAGCGGAAACGCGGACCCAAGGAGACAGGACCCGCCACCCAAAGCAGCACAGAAGCCCAACAAGAAGGCTAAAATCAGTGATGTAGTCAACCGACACCTGATCGTGGCACTCATTGACAGGAACGACGAAAATGGGAAGATGACGGAGGCGCGCTGGAAGATCGTCCATGCGCAACTGATCTAGTCTCTCTTTGCACGGATGGATGAATCACCCACAGCCCCCATGCCCACATTCGATGGGACAGGGTGGTTGAACGGAAGTGGCTGACGCAAACGGTCTGCCAACTAGAGGCGCTGTGGGAGGGCGCCAAGCTAGAGGTTGTGGACAGGGAATTAATCCCATCCATACCAAAGGCGAAAGTGCTCTTTCCCGTCGCAATCCAAGGGGATCAGGCGCTGAAGCTGCTTCAACGGCAGATTCTGCACATGGCCAGCCCTCTACCTAACGAGGGGGGCTGGGAGTGTGGGAGCGTGGTTCTCCAAATCAACAAGGAGGCTGAGGATCTGCTGTACCCAAGATTCGGGAAGATGGCGTGGGGCATGGGTAGCGTCTACCTGCGCCTCAAGAAGCGACACCCCGACGACAAAGGCGCACACATCCTGGCAGGCGAGGTGGAGAAGGACCTAGGTCTGGAAGCCATCGTGGATGCCGCCCAGGAACTTGCTCTGAACGACTCGGAAGACGAAGAGGACGGTGACCTAACTGTAATAGCCAACCCGTCCAGCGGAGATGAGCCAGCCTCCCATGACGTTGAGGGTGCTGCAGCTCAATTTTCATAAAAGCAGACTCGTATCGGCGGAGCTCCTGGTTGCCCTAGAGCAAGGGCCCGTCGACATAGCCTTGGTTCAAGAGCCATGGATTGCCTCGGGCAATATCGTGGCCGGACTAAGGTCCTCAAACTACAATACATTCTACTCACCAACAGTAAGCAGGAAAAGAAGCGCCGTACTTGTGCGGAAGGGTATCCATGCTAACCTTATGCCTCATTACAGCTCTGACGACTTGACTGCGGTGATGCTAGAAAGCGAGGAGCAGCGCCTCTTAGCAGCCTCCTGCTACATGGCACACGACAGATCGGCGCTACCAGACGAGCTGAGCAGCTTGGTGGAGGTAGGCTCGAAGGATGACCAACTCCTCATTGGTGCAGATGCCAATGCACACCACAGCGTGTGGGGAAGCTCAGACATCAACGACAGAGATGAGTCACTCTTAGACTTAATTCTATCTACTGATCTATGTATAGCAAACATGGGGGAGGAACACACCTTCGTAGGACCCACCTCGTCAAACGTGCTAGATATAACAATTGTAAAGGGACAGAGTACTTTGGTCTCCGAATGGAGGGTCCTAAAAACGGGTGCATGTCATAACGCCAAAGTGTCACTCAAAAGTGTCATAGGGCCCGTGGGCCTTATGACACACTCAAAAGTGTCATAGCGCCCGCAGGCGCTATGTCACTTTTTTTGAGGGCCTTATGACATACAGGAAAGTGTCATAACGCCCTCAGGAAAAAAATATATTTAACTATTACCCTAGTAACACAGTGCAACATGAAAAATGTAACCGCAATTCTGATTTCATGGGCGAAAATAAGCTAAAACCCATTTGGGTCTCTCTGGCTTAGCTCGCGTTTACCTTTTATAGCGAGTTAAAGTTTTACATACAAACTTTATTTGTAACGGCCATATCTTGTGAACCGATTAAAATTTCACTATCAAGTTTTCAGTGATTATGTAGCTATGAACCCAAGGAACTAAATTGACAAATGACTCTTGCGCACTTAGCACCTAGCGCGTTAAAAAACAAATTTGCCTAATTTTTCGATTTTTAACGCGCTAGGTGTACGTCTTCGCAAGAGTCATTTGTCAATTTAGTTCCTTGGGTTCATAGCTACATAATCACTGAAGACTTGATAGTGAAATTTTAATCGGTTCACAAGATATGGCCGTTACAAATAAATTTTGTATGTAAAACATTAATGCGCTATAATAGGTAAACGCGAGCTAAGCCAGGGAAACCCAAATGGGTTTTAGCTTATTTCGATGAGTTCTTTCCGCCCATGAAATCAGAATTGCGGTTACATTTTATAATCCTAAAAATGTTGCACAGTGTAATTAGTGTGATTTTTTTAGATTTTTTTGTCCGTTCTGTGTGTAATTTGCTGCTGACCGTTTTTTAGAGTTCCAATTTTATATTAGTTTAGATTATTTATATAAGTAAAGAAGTCGTATTCAGGTTGAGCGCGCGCAGTAAACAAAAATGCGGCTTGCACTTTTATTCAAACAAATTTTTGTCTGCGCCATATATAAAATTTTATTGAAATACTTGTAAATGCGAGTAACATAGAGGCAATATAGTAATCAGTTGTGTAGAATAATTTAGCGATGAGT